ATATATTATTCAAACGAATGAATTAATTTCAGAAATAATAATTACGTGTCGATATGGTTGTCGACATTAACGCAATTAATCTGAAATGTAATAATCCCCCCAAAATTCCCCAAATTAATCTTAAAAAACGTTTTTAATAATGCGTTGCTCTCGATACATATCGGTTATTGCGAAAAATTATTGCTAAGGTCTCGGTAGTCTACAGGCTCAGGAACGCTCGCACGGAATGCAAGAGATCCGGGTTCGGCTCCCGGCCAAGGCAATATTTTTTCGCAATAAGTTTATTACAGTTTTTTAAGATTAATTTGGGGAATTTTGGGGGGATTATTACATTTCGGATTAATTGCGTTAATGTCGACAACCATATCGACACGTAATTATTATTTCTGAAATTAATTCATTCGTTTGAATAATATATATATTAGTTCATCAACATCTTAATACTTAGACCGTAGTGGCGCTTCAGATTGTAATGTTATATAATAATTTAATTATGTTGCTATTATTTGCAGGACAATTGATAAATATTTTTATTAATCTTCATAAACGTAGTTTTCAGCGTAATTTGCATTCGAACAAATTATTCAGTAATTAACAGGGAATGTTCTCACTGCTTGTCAACTTAATCAATCGTTAACAATGATAAATACTGATCATTCGGACGAAAGCTCGATAGGTGATGGAACGGACGGTTTTGACGCCTTCGGAAACTCACAATTGAAGCTCAATCGTTAGAGTAGCAAGTTATTGCGTAAACACACCATTCTCCGCGAAAAGCAAATTGCCGAGAGGATAGTAGATCGGAGACCATGCAAAATAACAAACGACCTGTTGGCCGTTCCGGACGAGGGTGTAATTTTTAAGTTTAATTCTGCTGTCCCATGTGACAAAACGGGTGGTGGTGCCATCGCCCTGCGCCACGGACCCGATATATTTTACGGCGAAAAACAACGGTCCATTATTTCGTTTTCAATGATGTTCAACGAATGATTTTCACGACTAGATAGCTTTGTTTACAAGAGTTTAAAAACGATTATTATACGTAGCGACAGATTCGATTTTTGCGTCGAGATTTAAAGCGGGAATCTTTGCATTATGTACTTCAGCGGCAGCTGCGGATTTCGCTCTTTACCGGTGATATGCAAATGTAATAGAATTAACAGTGGCTTCTCCCTGTGTGTAGGGGACGAAGAGTGGGACGACGATAACGAGCAGAATGTCCTGGAGGCGGCCGAACAGGATAACGAAACGACGACGATTAAGCGTGAGTGTTATTTGTTAGACTGCCAGCTCTCATGGACTTTTCTTTAGTATTTACGTACAACAGGTGGCAACGTTTGCACAAGTGAATTATACAGGATAAATAGAAGGTGTTTTCACTTATTTTAACACACTTTATATAATAAAAATTGGGAAAATTGTAATATAGGAATTTCAACCTACATTAAATCGTTTGCAATGGATTAATATATAATATATTATTATATATATTAATCATAATATCAAGCATAATTTATTTACTTTTCACTCGATAAACAAGTATTTATGACACATAAACATGAGATATTAAACGAAACAATTTTATTGATTATATACAATATAATAGTATTAATTATAATGTAAATTAAATAAATTAAAATTAGATTCTTTGAATAAAAAATAATTGTACGATCACATATATTTCAGAGGATGATGAGGAAGAGGAAGAAGAAGAGGAGCTACAACGAGCGTTTAGCCGTCAGTCAGAAGGTAAGACATATTTAGAGTGATATATAAATAATGAAATGTTGTAACTGCTTCTTGTCGCTTGAATCGTAATATTTATTGCGAGCACTTGCATAATTCTTTTAGCATCTGATTTAAATTCATATCTTATTCTCGCAATAAAAATGACATAAGTCGAAATTTTTCAAATTTCGTTATTATTTATTATGTGCGAATTGTGTTCTAAATATATTGACCTTTAAGTGAATTCTAAAGATGATATTTTTTCATATTGTAAGTAGCATTTACACATAGATGATTCACTGACGTATCATTACGTCAATATTTCGTTCACGCATGCCATACATACACATTTTCGTATAACAATTACGTTTTAATTGGACATCTAAATCCAATTTTAAGAATTTTACGCTGTTTCTTCATACAAATTACTTAGTCCGTGGACTACTATTTCATAAATAAGTACAGATTGCACAGCTTTTGTATGAAATGTTGTCACGACGTGATAACTCTATCATATTGGATCAAGAAATGGTAAAGATTTCAATTTTGAAATTTTTTGTTGTCCTCGGTATAGACTTCACCTCACAGACACGTATTAATGCGTATACTTTAATCCTGGAAAAGAATTCTTGAATCTGTGAAAAAGGGAAAAGGTAATTGTTATTCAAAAATTATATTTTAGTTCAGTTGGCAATACAAATGACTTTAGGATCCCTTTAAATTATGTTATTTTGACTAAGAAATGTTGAATATCAATTTGACACAAAATTTTTAAATAACATAATCACATTATATTAAATTGACACTCGAATATATTAAAAAATTCAATGCAAAAATTTAACAAGGGATGGATTATTTCCAACACAAATATAAAATGTTTTTTTTTTACGTACGTCCCAAAAAATGCCACAAAGGAAAAATGACACAAGTCAAAATAGGAACAGAGTTTTTAGAGATAACTTAATTTAATATCTATCTTACAATTTCTAGAGAACTTGAAACAAACAATTTGTTATTCTAAATTAACTTATGTCTAATACTGCAATAATAAATAATTAATTTTGAAATATATAATTTTCTTTTCTTTCTCCTAAACAATCATATATTTTTTACTAGTGTCATTTTTCTAGCAAGAGTATGACGAACATTTTTCATAACGTACAACCTTTTTCTATCAAAATTTGCAGTAAAATCGATTGCTTTGCTGCGCAATGAGAACTATCCCGTGTACACAAAACCGGCCTTCTTTGCGTAACAATGCGAAGAAATTGCGAGAGAAAGAGAAAGAATGAGAGAAAGCCGCTCGGTGCATTCTGGTGCATTACTCGAATTGCCCTACGGGCACGCAACAATGCGTCGCGATGTATTGTCATTGTTGTTCGAAGGTGTTCAAGAAGCGCGATCCCGCCATAAATCCCATGAATATGGGATTCCTTGGTCCCTTGGGGGACGCGCGGCACGTAGCTATCCCAAGCACGAATGCATGTACATCGAACAATGCCGACATCGCACATTTTTCGCCTCTTTCCCGCGCGCGGATGATGAGGCGTGCGTTGGCTTTTTGTCGACAGAATGACAGGGTTTTTAACTCCTCGTTCGTCACGCGGTTGCAACTGAATGTATGCATGTTCGATTATTTTATCGTGAAGCATTTCATCGGTATTTGAAGTTCAATGAAAAACGCAGAACATACATACATTTCGCAACAATATATTATATTTTTCATTTTTTTGAGTACAATTGTTATAAATGTCTTTTTTTTGACATAGTCTGATGTTAAGTATCCATTATTCGAAATTTTCTATATTAAAATTCGCTCCGTGAGGCTTTCTTTCGCTCTACCCTTTTTAGTTTGATCAATTCTATGAAAAATAATGGGAAAAAATTCGCATAATTGAAATTATTTTTAATAATACAAAAAGATAAATATAGTAAAATAAATGAAAGAATAAAGGGCTGCGAGCCTAAAAATCAAACAACAAAATAACAATCTACATTAAACGGTTAAAAAATGAAATAAAAAATGTCATGAAATTAAAAAAAACGTAAAATATAATTTAACAGTTAGTAAGTGAACAAGAAGAAACGTTTCGATCCCTCTTGGATCATTTTCAATGTAAAGACAAGCTAAAAATGGATATAACGTAGATAAAATATATAGAAATTAAATAAAATTCGCATACGGACGCAATATCAACTATAAAAATAAATAAATATAGTAGGCTAATGAGAGAACAATCCAATATCTGATTATTGATTGTTCATTAAATAATTGCGCCGTTTGTCGTTGCTGACTCTCATTAGCCTATTATATTTATCTTTTTGTATTGTTCAAAATTCGAGAGTCCTAATATAATTATTGTTGTTGAAATTTATTTTATTGCAATTATATATTTAATTTTCCACCGTAAATAAATTTTCTATTTTCACCTCCAAGACAGCCAACGAAACGGCCAACAGATTAACCGGATAGCATCTCTCGCGACGTCTACTTTTCGTTTTCTTTCGTAGTCTCCCGACAGTTTCTATCCGAACTATTTTTGCGCTAAGTAAAATTTCCGCGTCCCCTGTGTGCGCACAGCGTGTGCCCTACGGTACCGCCCTTGTTACGTAACTAGCGAAACTGTCTCGAAAGATTCGTACCTTTCCCAAGTATCCAGCAGTTTTCCTCCCCAAGGAGGCCAGGAAGATCAAACCTTTATCCGCTCCCCCGTACGTACGGCACGATTATTATTTCAGGTTACCTTTCGCAAAGTGTACTTGCGCGCGCGCTTTATACTCGGAGGTAAAACCGGCTTGGAGGAGCTCGCGAAGAACGAGGTTGCCTCCCGCAGGAGGCGGCCCGTATTCCCACGGGAGATGCCTCGTCCGTCTGCTTACCTGAAAACATCGGGCTTCCTTCGGCTTCTTTAATGCTCCGTGTACCCACGCCGCTCATTAAACCATTGGGACATCGTTATTTTCTCCCTTTTTTTCCTCGTTTTTCAATCCAGTGAACACACTAATGCCTTCGTTCCGCAACGATCGGTGAACGTTTTCAAAGATGGCTTTTAACTTGTTTCTTTAAACCTTCCGTATTTAATCTTTTTAAACATTTCTTTTTAATGTGCCTTCTTTAAGGATCTATATGTTTCTTCGAGCTTTTGTCCTTAAATATCTAATACTCTTGAATGTCCTAAAAAGATAAATTTCACTGTGCTTGATGATAAAAATCTCCATTTGAGAGAGATTTGAAATTCTTTGCACTTAATTATAACATTTTAATACGACAGAATTATAAAAGCACTTTAAAAACTAAATGTCAGGGTTGGAAAGTTACATTATAAAACAGTAATCTATTACCATTTATTTTTCTCTGAAAAATAACTTATTACCGTTACATTCATTACTGATTTAAACAAATAACTTCTTACCGTTACTAAAACATTAATGAGTCATTATAATTTCTATTACTTTTTTTTATCACATTTTGATTATCCTTTTTTTATACTTTTCAAAATTGTCTGTGTTTTAATTAAAATTAGGATAATGACTTTGTAAAAATAATTTGTTATTGTTACTGATTTACAAAAATAACTTATTACCATTACTGTTATTTAAAAATTAACGAGTTATTCTAAGTTTTACTTGTTCGTCGCCATTTAATAACTCTTTTTTTACAGTTTCTTTTAGAATTGTTTATGTCACTAATTAAAGTTGAGAAAATTACTTTATAAAAGTAACTCGTTACTGTTGATTTAAAAAAGTAACTGCTACCATTATTATTATTCAAAAACTAATGAGTCGTTAAAATTTTCATTATTTTTTCACCGCATTTTGATAATCTTATTTGTATTGTTTGAACTATCTTTATTACCGATTGACCAAGTTCAACACGAGATGTATGTATAATGGTTATCATGATCAACATGATCAAATATAATACTCTCTTCTCAGATTTACCGCCAGCTCAGTGCTCCCAAAAAAGTACGAATAGTGAGTTTTGTATTCGAAATAGTGAGAGAAAAGTGAATTTTTTTGAAATGCTAAGCAACAAGCTAGTTTGTTTAGATTTGATTAAAATTAAATATAGAATATATTATCTAAGGAAATTAATACTATATTATTTCGAATATTTTATCCTGTGATAGTGATACATTCATTATTTAATATTCCATTCAATCTTTTTGAATTTTAAAAATAGTATCGTTAAAAATACACGTTTCAACAGAGAGGACGACTAACAATAGAATTTAAATTCAAAAACCGAAACGATTTAGGAAACAAGTGTCTAGAGACAAAGTTAATTTTTTTTAAATTAAATATATCATTATTTAATATATCTAGTTTATTAAGATTCTATAAGTTTATATTTAAGTCTTTCATAACCAATAAAATTAAAACATATTTAAAACTTTAGTATATAATTTTCCCTTAATATTACTTAGAATAACATTCCAATAAGTTTTTCGCATTTATATAAGTAATATCATTTTCTAATAAGTTTTTCATACTGATAAAGCCATTACTTTACATGGCACAGGTATGCATATGACTACTTTTCATGACTATCGCTCAATATATTGATTTAATTTACGTGGATTGAAATAACTGTAAATTGTAATGAAATGCTTAAATGAAAATCTTCCTTACTCTTTAAATCTCATGGAGTAAAATCTTACTCGAAGAGATAATTTAGCCTGTCTTGAAAAAAGAGTGCAAGTACGGTCACTCTTATTCAAGAATAGTAGATTTTCGCTCCTTTTAGAGTGAGATTTACTCTTTTAAAATGAGATTCACTCCATAGGAGTGAAATCTCAGTCTTTTTTTTGGAGTGAGGTTCCATCTACTCTGATATTGTACTAAATAATCAGCAATGAAGTAAGAGAATCCCGCCATTATATATTCAAATTATTCAAATCTACTCAGAAAAGGGATAAAGAAACGCAGAAAAAAATTTAAAAAAAAACATGACTTATTAGATAGAAATTATAGTAAACACAGAAATAATACAATTTCAGCGGAAAAAAGTGAGAATAGTC